AAAACTAAAGAAAGAAAGAAAAAAAAAACAGATCGATGTAATGAGATCTAACTGCTGGATAGGAGAAGCAGAAAGCTGGCTACCAATCATCCTGGGATATTCACGTGGGCAGGATGTGGTTCTCCACACAAGGGCATCAACCACAGGCTTTGCATTATTTCCCAACACATCACTTGAAAAGCATTTAAAAAGATAGGTTTTGTGTCAGTCAGACTTGGATTTAATGCAAATCCCACCTCCATCATCAGCTAATCAACTGTGGGTCCCTTGGGGAAGTTAACCTAACTTCTTCAAGCCTGTTTTCTTAGCTATAAAGTGGGCAACACAAAATCTCAAAAGATTATTGTAAGGATAAACTAAAGATACTCATGTATGTAAAACAATAGGAACATGGTCTGGCACATAACAAGTAATTAAAAAAACAAAATCTTAAGAATATGGGATTTCGGGGCACCTGGGTGGCTCAGTCCTTAAGCATCTGCCTTCGGCTCAGGTCATGATCCCAGGGTCCTGGGATCGAGCCCCACATCGGGCTCCCTGCTCCTCGGGAAGCCTGCTTTTCCCTCTCCCACTCCCCCTGCTTGTGTTCCTTCTCTTGCTGTGTCTCTCTCTGTCAAATAAATAACTAAAATCTTAAAAAAAAAAAAAGAATATGGGATTTCAATAATCTTGAAAAAGAAGAGCAAAGCTGGAAGACTTACACTTCCTGATTTCAAAACATGCTATGAAGCTACAATAATGAAGACAGTGGCACTTGCATAAGGATAGACATATATATCAATGGAACAGAATTGAGAGTCCAGAGATAAACTCTGGCATTTATGGCCATTTGATTTCCAAAAAGGAATGCAAGACAATTACATGGGAAAGTGGGGTCTTATCAACAAATGGTCCTGGGACAGCTGGACATCTACATGCAAAAGAATGAAGTTACACCTCTTACCCTCATACTATACACAAAAATTAACTCAAAATGGATCACAGACCTAAATATAAGAGTTAAAACTAGAAAACTCTTAGAAGAAAACATACGTATAAATCTTTGTGACCTTGGACTAGGCAAAACCTTCTTAGATGTGACATAACAAAACAGTAACTAGATAAAATGAATTTCATCATTGAAGAACACCATCAAGAACATGAAATGACAACCCGTATAACAGGAGAAAATATTTGCAAATCAGGGACTTGTATCTAGAATATGTAAAGAACTCTTACAATTCAATAATAAAAAGACAAAATACCCTATTGAAAAATGGGCAAAGGATCTGAATACACATTTCTCCAGAGAAGAAATGGCCAAGAATCCCATGAGAAGATGTTCAACATCAATAGTCATCAGGAAAATGTAAATCAAAACCACAATGAGATACCACTTCATACCCATTAGGATGGCTATAATCAAAAAGAGGGACAATATTACAAGTGCTGACAAGGATATAGAAAAACTGGAACACTCAGACACTGGTGGTAGGAATATAAAATAGTCTGGCTATTTTTCAAATGATTAAAAACAGAATTAGCATCCAGCAATTCCACTGGTAGGTGTATACCCAAGAAAAATAAAAACCTATGTCCACATAAAAACTTGTACACAAATGTTCATACCAGCATTGTTCATAACAGGCAAAAAGTGAAAACAAATCCAAATGCCCACTAACTGATGAATGGATAAAAAAAAAATGTGGTCTACCCATACAAAGGAATATTATTCAGCCATAAATAGGACTGAAGTACTGATTCATGCTACAATACAGATGAACCTTGAAAACATTATGCTAAGGTAAAAGAAGCCAGTCACAAGACTATGTATATTCATTTATATTTAACGTCCAGATTAGGCAAATCTACGAGACGGAAAGTAGATTAGTGGATGCCTAGGGCTGATGTTGGGGAGACATGGGAAGAGAATGCAAACAGGTATGACATTTTTTTAAAAAGTGATGAAAATATTCTAAAATTAGATTGCTGTAATGGTTGCACAACTCTGTGAATCTAACAACCACTGAATTGTATACTTTGGATGAGTTACCTTTCAATAAAGCAGTTTTAAAAAAGAGATTTATGCATAAAGGAATACCTCCTGGACAACTGAAGTTTATTACTTTAAGGACCAAAGGTTAAAGCTTCCCTTTTCTTTTCCGTATTTTAACCATATTGTATTAGACATCACCCCCCACTGCCAATGTATATCTTGTCTTCTTTTACACAGCAAAATGGATGCAACAGAACTCGTATGTTATGTCTCAGGATCACTTCAAACACCACTTTTTATATTAGTTATAACAGAGATATCCCCTAAGGGCTAATAGGCTCTAAATGGCCCCTGGCTACCATGCTTTAGAAGTTGTGACTGTTTTTGTTGTTGTAGTTAGGTTTAATTTACATTATTAATATTTTCTCCATCATTTTATTTTTTATTTTTCTTTATTGAGATAAAGAACATGTAACATTGTGTTGGTTTAAGGTGTGCAATGTGTTGACTTGATACATTTATACACTGCAATATGCAACACCATAGCGATAGCTAACACCTCTATCATGTCACATAATTATCATTTTTTTTTGTATTAGGAACAATTCAGACCTAGTCTCTTAGCAACTTTGAAGTTTATAACATAGTATCATTGCCTATAATTATTATGCTGTGCATTAGATGTCCAGCATCTGTTTATTTACTAGTTGCAAGAACACTAGTTGTGTTGTTTGGGGTTTATGTCCTTCCTCAAGGGTAGACTGTTTTGCTGTACTCATTGCCTGATGTGTTTCAGTCTGCCCTCCTAACAAAACTGCTGGAGTATACTAAACTCCATGTAACTGGGCTTATAAAAAAAATTACAAAGGAAAAATGAGCTGGAATTAAAAACCAGAAGATCTGGGTATGTTTTAGCACCAACATTTATAGGTGTCTGTAGGCAAGAATCTGTGCCTGAGTTGTAAAACAGTGATAATACCTACAATGCAGAGCTAAAATGAGAACTAGGGATGATAAATGTGATGTACTTAGTATAGCTCCCAGCACATAAAAGGCAAAAAGTCATTGACAGTTTGTATCAGAGTCTCAGATCTACGAAATATTACTTGATTACTTTGAGAAAGTCCTTCATCTCTGAGTCTCAAGTTTCTACACTGTTAACATGGGAGAAAAGATCTCTTCTCACCTCACAGAGTGTAGGGAAGGCAAATTTTCATGCACTGTTTATATTTTTGTAAATTCCAAAGAGGTACAAAGAATTATTTACTGATCTTAAGGATGACAAAAGATCATTAAATTAAAAATTCTGTTTAAAAAAAGATACAGTTGATGACTGTGCAGGTCCACTTATACGTGGATTTGGAAACAGTACAGTACTACAAATGTATTTTCTCATCCTCATGATTTTCTTTTTTTTTTTTTTAAAGATTTTATTTATTTATTTGACAGAGAGATGCAGCAAGAGAGGGAACATGACAGGGAGAAGCAAGCTTCCTGATGAGCAGCGAGCCTGATGCAGGGCTCGATCCCAGGACCCTGGGATCATGACCTAAGCCAAAGGCAGACGCTTAATGACTGAGCCACCCAGGGGCCCCTCTTCCTCGTGATTTTCTTAAGAACATTTCCTTTTGTCTAGCTACTTTATTATAAGAATACAGTATTTAATACATATAAATATACAAATTAAGTATTAATCAACTATATTATTGGTAAGGCTTCTGGTCAACAGTAGGCTATAAGTGATTAAGTTTCTAGGGAGCCAAAAGTTATAGTTGTTTTTTTTTTTTTTCTTGAGAGAGAGAGCGCGTATGTGCGGAGTGGGGGTGTGCACAGCGGGGCAGAAGGAGAGGAAGAGAGACAATTTTAAGCAGTCTCCATGCCCAGAGCGGGGCCCCATGCAGGGTTCGATTTCACGACCCTAAGATCGTGACCTGAGCTGAAATAAAGAGTCAGACGCTTAACCAACTGAGCTACCCAGGCACCCCAAAAGTTATAGTTGGATTTTTGACAGTTTTGGGGGGCAGTGTCCCTAAACCCCATATTGTTCAAGGGTCAATTGTCCTCTCCTCCTTGCTAATAGTAGCATCTCCAAACATAAGGGAATATGTGGTGTACACCAAGTCCATTATCTGCCATTAGTAAGATGTTTATAATCCATCCCAGAAAGTCTGCTGCTCATGCTCACTAACCATTTCCAAGAAAAAACACACCCTTTCCCATTACTATCCTCAAATCAAGTGTTCAACAAGTACTCACAGAACACTTGCTACACACACACACACCCAAGCTAAATGCTGAGGGAAATTCATATAGAACATTAGTTCCTGCGCTCAAAATACACAGGTTATTTTTGTTGGGAGACAATTTTTTTTTTTAAAAGATTTATTTATTTATTTGAGAGAGCGAGAATGAGAGAGAGAGTACATGAGAGGGAGGATGGTTAGAGGAAGAAGCAGGCTCCTTGCCGAGCAGGGAGCCCGATGCGGGATTCGATCCAGGGACTCCAGGATCATGACCTGAGCCGAAGGCAGTCGCTTAACCAATAAGCCACCCAGGCGCCCCTGTTGGGAGACAATTCTTGTGCAATTAGAGAACGCTGAATCTGCATTCTAGGGATGACTACAGGAGACCATCGTATCTTTGAATGTGGTTTATGAAAATCAATTCTATGACTTAGCCACAACTTCAAAAAAGAAAGTGCTAAGTTATGTCATACAGTGCTATACTGGAGAGGGACTGATATAAAATGAGGTCAGAAAACTTCCCCGGAGATACACCTTGAAAGATGAGTAAGATCTGATGGGCTTAGGGTAGGAAATCAGATTTTCTCATGAGATAAACCATATGAAGAGAAGTATTGAGGTGAGAAAGAATCTGATGAGAGAGCAGTCTGTTTGAGGGTAGGGTATACACTGTAAGTTTTATGTTCCAATTTGTCAAAGCTATCAACAAGTGCCTTATATCTTATAGTTAACCTAAATATCTATTACGATAACATCTTCACCCCCTAAAATATCTAATGGTGAGCAAAAAGAACATGTCACCTCCCTCTCACCACCCCCACACACTCTGAACCATTCACTGCCCCATCCTTCCAAGAATGCCAGCTTTCACTCACCTCCATGTCATCTTCCTTTTTCCTCTTGTTTACGGACTCACTTCCTTCTTCGTCTTCTTCTTCTTCCTCTATGATTCCTTCCACTATAGATTTTGAGCCTTCTGGACTTGTAATTCCTTCACACCTAGGTGGTTTGTTTTTTTTTTAAAGTGCTATCATACATCTTTCTTTTATACACAAATTATCTCAGAGATACTGAAACTCATAGTCTTTTACAATCAAATGTCAGTTAAAACTTAATGCTTCTGGGAGAAGGAGGATGTGAACAATGTGCATTTTAAAATGTGCAGAAATAGACAAGGGCTGTGGAAGGTCATGGCCATGGAAGGTATGACTATATTCCAAGGGCTGGTTTCCAGTTCTTGCACCAATACTGACCCACAGAAGAGAGTAATCATTTCATGTGGCATGGTGACAAGAATTTTATTGACATTATCTTGTATAATCCTCATAACAATCCTATGAAGTAGCCCTGAAAAATAAAAAAATTGTCCAAGATCACCTGGTTCATAAGTAGATGAGGCTGGAAGGCAAATCCAGGCCCAATTAACTTGAAAGCATGGTACTTTTCTACTGTACCCTGCTTACAGTAGAGCAAGGCTTAAACAGCATGGTAAAAGGCCCCCACTTTCAATTAGCTGATAGAAACTGACAATTACAATAACCATAGCCAGCTGAACCTTGGGGATTAGAACATCTGATCCAACCAATTACTATTGTTGTTTTTCCTCTAAAAAACAATATTACATAATTAGGTAGAAAAATTATTATATTATGAACAGCTGATATCATAATTCCTTTTAGAAAGAACTTGTTGAAAAAATACACTGACAATATTAAAGGTAAAAGTCCCAAGAGCCTAGGTAGCAGCTAGTACTAAGGTCTGTTCTGCATGATAAAGAAGTATTGTTATTTTGCCCTTGAAAGGGAGAGAGAAGGGAGAAGAGGAGAGAGAACAAGTTAAGATAAACTGAAGGGTCAGTGAAACTTCAGTGGTGGATTTTTAACAGTGATAACTTGTTTTCCTTTTCTCCTCTACCAATCTCAGTAAAGCATATGTTCACAAAATGTTTTGTCAAGTGGGGGTGTTCTATGGGACTTGAGGTATCAAGTTTCACATCTAGGGTCAAGGTAGTAAAACAAAGAAACAACATGTGCTTTGGATTTCCACAGCTATGGATTAGGAGGTTCAAGAGAATTTCACCTACATCAAGAAGGGCAGGAAGGTTCTATCTGGTCTCTATGTGACAATTAAAACACACACTATATACACAAGTTTACATATTAAGAGAAGACACCATTGAAATTTACATATTAGGTAAAATTTAAAAATCGCTGAACTACCTGAATACAAGCCATATAACTTCCTCACAAAATGCTTTACCACTGCTTAAACAAATCTGATCTCAAAATATTTAGGCACTGCAAAGTGGGCAGTCTCACAGCTTAAAGACTGCATTGTGTCCGCTAGATATTACTACTCAAATTGTATGTTTAGGCATAAAAAGTCCATGATACAGTCCTTGAAGTCAAATACACAGGAGACTGAATCTGAGCACCGTCATTCACTAGCTGTGTGATCCTGGGAAAGCTACTTTACCTTTCTGAACTTCCATTTTCTCACCTATAAAAAAATCTTATCTTAAAGAGGTATTGTAAAGACTAAATGAGATGGTGCAAATGAATTAATGAATCTAGGTAATGATCATCGATGGCTACCAACACTCAAAAAAAGAGACAACCAGAAATTACATGCTTCCTAATGGCAGTACCTATTCTTATAAACAAATAAAAAGCCAAAATAACAACAAACAAACCTGAACTTGATCAAATCTCTGGATCTAACTAACAATTTACAGAAAATACAGTGAAGAGAAGAACATGTTAAATTTCACCTTCAGGAATCAAATCAGAAAATCCAGATTGTGGGAAATTCTACAGGGCAAACAACCAGGTTTCTTCAACAAATAAATTGCAAGGAAAAAAAATAAGACAAGTGGAATCTATAAATTAAAAGATACTTAAGAGTTATATCTTCCAATTGCTACATATCTACCTTATTATAATTCTGATTTGATTTATAAAAAAATTATCAGTGAGACAATTAGAAATGTGAATACTGAATGGACATTTGATGATACTGAGGAATTATTAAATTTTTTAGGTGTGATAACGGTATTGTGATTGTGTTTTAAGTGTCCTTACCATTTAGGGTATCCTGAAATCTTGGAATTTATTTAAAAATATTCTGTAATTAGGGGAAAATAAGGGGCACAGATGAAACAAGACTGGCCATGAGTCAGTAACTGTTGAAAACAGGCAATGTGTATACTGGGGTTCATTTTATCATTCTACTTTTATATGTTTAAAAATTCCCGTAAGATTTTTAAAATGAGAACATGGATATAAAATACCAGGCACAGTGCCTGGCAAATAGCAGGCATTCAGTAATGCCATTATCATTTTTATCAACTCTTGTGCTCCCTATCTGTTCCGCTGAGCAACATTTTCTCAATTTATCTGAAGTTTATTTTGTGACTACATAGCCATACTCAGGACTCATGTAACCCTATCCAAGAAGATCAGTTGGGCTATATAATTTTAGCTGAGCCTTAGAATCTGGCTTTCACTAAAGCTTTTATACTGTTATTTCCTCACAATCAGGTGTGGCCAAGAAGGAGACGATTACCAGAATAAAATCATAGCTGCCAGCACTAGAGTGGACCCTTAAAATAATTTTTAATGTCCATTCTCTGGGATTCTTCACTTTTTAAGATGCAGAGTTGTATTAAAAAGGTAATCCTGTATTATATAGGCTTTGGGAGTTCTTCAAAAAAAAAAAAAAGAAAACGAAAAGAAAAGCTATGAGGCTAGCCTGAGCTCATTTGTAAAAATTATCTAAAATAATAAAGGCATTCAGGATAGTAGGACAGGTGTATAACAAAAAGCAATCTGTAATTCCCTCACCATGTTTCAGTCTCTAACCAGCCCAACAGGGAAAAATAAGACCTACTGTTTGACTTGGCCAACCATTGAGACACGGGCTGACTCCAAATTTCGAATCTGACCACTCTTCACACTAAAAAAGTGAGAAGGGAGAGAGGAGGTTATTCAGCATCCATCTTATCATGTCATAGGGTCAAATGGATAATTTTGCAGATTCTGTGGAACCTCTACAAAGTTGTGTTTACCAATACAGCTTACTATGGAGATTACCACTACTTCCTACTTCCTACCTGGTTATTATGGCTATAAGCCAAGTAGTAAAAATTAAGTAAAGACATTCAAGCCATTTCAGTTCTGCAAACGTTTACCAGGAGGATACTATGTGCCAGGCCTGTGCTCAAGAAGCACCTAATTCAGCAGGGAGAAAGAAACACAAACATAGGCTTAACATAATAAAGGCAAGGTTCAAAGGAATCACTTTATTCTGAGTGAACAGGTTAAAGAAATCTCCCCAAATGTCCTGTCTAAACTGAGGAGAAAAGAAGCTAGGCAGAAGATAAAAGAGGGTGGTCAGGGCATTATAGGCAGGGGGCACATTGTGAACAAAGGCACTGTGATGTGGAAAAGTCAAAGGATGAGGATTTTAGAGGACAGAGTGCAAGGAGAAGCAGGGGAGAGCAAAAGGGGAGTGTGAATGGGAGAAAGGGACAGGCGGGCAGGGACGAGCTCCTACAGGGCTTTGCATGCCAAGATATAGAGTTCTGGAGCTTGGATGCTATTTTAATAGATTAGTTCCCTCAGAGTTATCTACCTATGTATGCTTAAAGGGCCAAGCAAAATGGCCGCATGTCCCAGGGGGAATTGGAAACAATATCTGAAGCAGGCCACCCGAACACTTTCCTTCCCTTCCCTTTTTTTTTTTAAGATTGCATCCATTTATTTGAGAGAGAGAAAGTGACAGAGCACGAGAGTGGGGAGGGTCAGAGGGAGAAGCAGACTCCCCGCTAAGTAGGAAGCCTGATGTGGGGCTTGATCCTGTGACTCCAGGATCAAGATCTGAGGTGAAGGCAGATGCTTAACTGACTGAGCCACCTAGACGCCCCCAGAACACATTTCTTTAAATCTAACTTTTTTAGCTTAAAAAAATCATGTAAAATTTTAAAGGGCAACCCCCTTAGATAATGACCTTGTTTCTTATTTTAATGATAAATAGACACAATCAGAATGATTATTTCATTTTTCTACTACCAACTGAATCTACAGAATCTACAAATACACCAGTATTTATAATCATATACCCTGTCTTGATGACTGTTTAATATATGAAACACCTCTGTTCCTATTTAAGGCCAACCTTGGGCACAATTCCTATCCCCTCTTGCTTATGAGGACCTTGCTTCTTATAGTTATCATGTGGGTCATCATTTTTTTTCTCTAGTGGATATTATAAAACAGCCTTTGAAAACATTCTCAACCCCACATTCACTACTAGATACTACCCCACTTCTCTGCTCTCCTATACAACAAAACTTCTCAAAAAAGCTATCATAAAAAAAAAGTTATCTTAAAGGAATCTTTTTTCTTAAATATTATCTACGCAATAATGATTCTCCAATTTATCTCTAGCTCAACTTCTTCTAACAAGTATATACAAGTACTTACTTAACATTTCCACTTAGATGTATAGTAAGCATTTTAGCTTATCCAAACAAAAATTCTGATTTCCTGACCTTTTACTTGCTCCCAAATCTACTTCTCTTTGTCTCTACCATTCACCCAATTGCTTGGGCTAAAAACCTAGAAGTCATCCTTGAATGCTGTGCCTCCTCCTGCCTCCAACCCCCATTTCTCTGCTGATATCCAATCCGTAAGGCAGTCCTGTCAGTTCTGCCCTCAAAATACATTCCAAATATGACATATTACTTCCTCTGTTGCCATCCTAGTCTATGCTTACCATCATTATTCTCCTATAATACTACAATTGCCTCTTAACCAATTTCCCACTTCCATTAACACACCCACTCCCTACTCCTTCCCCTAGTGTTTTCCTCAGAGCAGCCAGAGTGGTGAAACCAAAATGCAAATCCTTATCTGTCCAACTTCAAAGCCTAGGCTTCTAAAGACAATAACCTACTGCCTCTCATTAGGATGACCAAGAAAGCAGAAGTGGGAATTCACTTTGCTTTAAATCCTTACTGAATTAAACAGGTTGGCCTTGTATGTCAACATCTTTTTTTTTTTTCATCTGGAATAGCCACAATAGCCATGAGTCATGAACTTTATTCAGATATCCAGCAGAGTACAAAACAAAATTATGAAATACTTCACTGGATTCTTTCTGATTCTCAGGCTCAGGAAGTGGGTTCTAAAAATCAGTGGCTCTCATAAACCCAAAACATTTTAACATACAACCAACAGAACCCTCATCCTATCCCACATCTGCCACTAGAATCAAGACTCCATATCTTTTAGGAGAAGGTCCACCACGACTGCCATGCTAGATTAAGTACCTATCTTCTGTAACTCCTGTGCCTCCTTCATTGTGTTTACATATTTACTTATTTGTATTCCCAGTTATTTGACAGATAGGAACTAAAGCCCGATTCATCCCCAGTTCTTAAATTAGGTACTGACACATCTTAGGTACGAAAAAAAAAAAGTTTACTGAATAAATTTAAAAAGTTATTTGGAATCATCTTTTCACTGGTTATTACTGGGGAAGAAGGCAGGGTGCCTGAGGTACTTGCTGAACTGGCAGCAGCTACATTCTGAAATGCTGTGGTTGCCAAAGAGGGGGAGATCTTTGGTGCTTCTGAGAGAACAGGAATCCTGAATCTCAGTAGTGTGAACAAGGGGAGATAGAAGCAACCTCACCAAACACAAACATCATTTTGGCAAGCCATATTTGGCATGAGGCCCTCTGTCTTGGAAAAACTACCTAGGCTCTATTTACCAGGTCCTTCATTTCCTCTTGATGTCTCTGATTCAAAGAACAGATATGTTCTGCCTGCTAAGGCAGTCAGCAGTATGCTGAATGCTATATGAAAGTACAAAAGAAATACAGGATAGCTTCTGCCCTTATCATATAGGAAAAGCATTAAGACATACATGAAAACTGACAATATAAGCATAGCTTTTAGGGGAGCATTAGAAGACTTAAGAGGTAAGTAAATAGTACAATATAATATAGACAGAGGCCTCTAGCAATTTGATCAAATGAGTGATCTGAGTGGTTCAGAGGAGTTAGAGAAAGGGTCTGGAAAAGGAACTAGAGATGATTTTAAACAACAGGTAGGAAGACAGGATACTAAGGATATTTTATCCTAAGACTGATTTCCTTGTGGGAGAGACAGTGTTTTACTCTTTTCTGAAATGTCACCCTTTAGCACAAAATGTTTAATAAATATTTAATCAAATAATTGACTTAATGAATAAATTAATGAAAAAACAGCCTTAAGTGGAAGCCATAGCCAATTCTGTCTGTGATTTTTATGAAAACCAATTACTGAAAGGGTTTTTATTTACTCAAAACCCAAATAAAAACTGAGAAAGGAACCTATGCGCATCCTTTCTGTTTCTCCACCATTTTCTCTGGAACACAGAAAGTGAATCTAGAACCATGAAGCATCAGAAGTGGAAAAGGCCTTAGAGCCTCATTTAGTCCAGACTCTAACCTCAGAGATGGAAATAGCTAGACAGCAGATGATCCATAATTATTAAATTCTAGGAGGTACTACAGTGTATTAGAAAAAGGATGGATTTTAGATAACTGGGCCAAGTATGAAACATTTAAAATATTAAAAAAAAAATTCTGCTCTTTATATAACTGTTTCCGCACATATCATAATAAAGCTAAGGCTTGGAAACTGAACTATTCCTTTGAACTTGGTGCCTGAAGTGATGAAAAAGGACAGCTACAATCTAACACTTAAAATACAGACAATATAGATTTGTGAGTTACCTCCATTCAATGGCATTCTCTAGAGACTTGAAGGTTTTAGGACGACCACGTAAGAAATTCTGCATGCTATTAAGTGCATCCATGGCTGTACCTAGATATTAAACAAATATTTTAACTACAGAACTTTACACTTACTGGGTTAACTGTACATTTGCCCTCAATGATAGCAGAATTCAGTGATGCTTTGGGGAAAAAAGACGCAGCTTAAGAAAATTCAGACGACTGATGGGATAGCCAGCTTCCAAGATGGCCTCCAGTGATTTCTGCCTCTTGGTATTCACTCCCTTGTGTAGTCTTCCCACACTGAATAGGGGCTGACTTGTATAAGCAATAGTGTGACTTCTGAGGCTGGGTCATAAAAGACATGCACCTTCTTTTAAATGTTAAATAAAATTATGGGACACACATACAACTGAAAAATTATGCAGCCCCAAAAGATATTTACAAAGAGTTTTTGATGACATGGAAAATGATTATATAACATGGAGTGTGGGTGAAATGGGGGAAGGTGTCAAAAGGTACAAACTTCCAGTTATAAAATAAGTAAGTCATGAGGATGTAATGTACAGCATAGTGACTATAGTTAAAAATAATGTATTGTATATTTGTTGGTTTTTTAAAAGATTTTATTTATTTATTTATTTATTTATTTATTTATTTATTTATTTATTTGAGAGAAAGAGCGTGCACACATGCAAGCAGAAGGAGAAGAGGGAGAGGCAGAGAATCTTAAGCAGACTCCGTGCTGAGTATGGAGCCCTACACGGGGCTTGATCTCACGACCCTCAGATCATGACCTAAGCCGAAACCATGAGTCGGCTGCTTAACCAACTGAGCCATCCAGGTACCCCTGTATTGTATATTTGAAGGCTGTTAAGAGAGTAGATCTTAAAAGTGCCCATCACAAGAAAAAAAAATCGTAATTATATGTGGTGATGGATGTTATCTACACATACTGTGGTTATCACTTCACAATATATACATATATTGAATCATTATGTTATATATCTGAAACTAATAAAAAGTTACATGTCAATTAAAAAAATACTTGGGAATGCCTTTGCTACAAAATAACATAAAAAAAGATATCAAGACAGAGGGACATAGTTCCAGATGAGTAGAAAATCAACAATAAATTAAAACAAGATAATAATAATCTACCATGGATGTCTCTCATAAGTCAAAGATTCTGATTTGGTCAGTACTAAGAAAACTTACCTTCTACAACATCAATCATACAGAGACCCAGGAGACTTGGCACCAGGTTAGATGATGCTGTGTGGACTGCAATAGCACCACCCATACTATGTCCAATCAGCATGATTGGAGGAGGGAGGTCCCCATACATGGCTTCAACCACATTGCCAACATCTCTGCAAAGAGAAGGAAAAAAAGCTGAGAATGCTCTCTGACAACACTGTAAAAATCATTTTCTTTCCTAACTCTTTCCTTTGGTCTGTAACGAGTCCTAAAACTGTAAAGGTCCACTGGGCCATCTTGCAAATATACCTATGTAAATCTCTTAATATGCCCCCCAGTATCTATACATGTAGCCACACATCTAGCTATTCTGATAAATGGGACTAAAAGCCCCAATTTTTTTTTTAAGATTTATTTATTTATTTGAGAGAGAGAGCACAAGCAAGAGGGGCAGAGGGAGAAGGAGAGGCAGAGAATCTCAAGTGACTCTGTGCTGAGTGCAGAGCCAAACAGGGAGCTCGATCCCACGACCCTGAGATCATGACCTGAGCCAAAATCAAGAGTCAGATGCTTAACCAACTGAGCTACCCAGGTGCCCCAAGAACCCAAATTTTTTGTTTTCATTTACATCACACTTTCATTTTTCCACACATTTAGTACAATTACATATACCTTTATTTTAAACCTAAGCTTGAAACTGGACAGAAAATGTAAGCACTCTACACTTCAGTTTCCCCAACTACAAAACAGGAAAACAATTTTATCAAGCATTATATAATGTAGTAAAATTTAGAGTCACAAGATGAATTGCAGCCCCAGTTTAATTTTTATTATGTGGACTTGAATTAGTTATTTAATCTCTCAGACAGTTTCAGTATCTATAAAGTGAAGATATGAATGTGATTTACGAAAAAAGAAAAGAGTATGATTTACTATTCTAGATTGCCTTGAAGATTAACTGAAACAGTAAATGAAAACTACTTTGAAAAGTGTAAATGTTATACGAATGTTACTTATTACTTATATTTGTTATGTAAAGTTATTTGAAGTATGAACATAAATTTAAGTACAATGTTCTGAGAAACAAGATGTTCAGAGCTAATTTTTACTGGCTTCTGTCCTAGTCTTTAATTATGAGTGGATCCATTCTGAAAATTTTTGAAAATTTCGGAAAGTTTTGAAAATGAGAAGTGAAAAAGGAACTTGGGTTTGACTTGCCTATAGGCCCTCTACACTACAGCAATAGGTACGTATGGTATGTTTTTAGAGACCACTGGCTCTACCGTCTGCTTTTGGGAGTGGCTGAGTCAGTTAACTTCAAAAGACAGTTTGGTCTTACTGGGTGTTATTATATACATCAAGCACCCACACAGTGTTACCCAAATATAGCAGATGTGGATATAGGAACACAGCCTTTTGAATATGATCCCCAGGGTATTCAGAATGGCAAAGACAAATGCTATTAATTATTTCAGAAGGAATTAATCTTAAAAATCTCATAAAACAATTACAGATGTGAATAGGGTAGCTGTAGCATCTGCAGACAATCTGAATGGGAGATAAGGAGGCCCCACCTAATTTTACAGGTGAAAAAAGCACTAGTTTAATATTCCTTTGGAGTTAAATTTAAAGCTAAAAGTTTTGGTTAGTAACAGCTATAATAAAGCAAAACGATGCTACAGAAGATTATCTAAGTACAGGTCTCTTTAAAATACTCAGTAACTGAGTTGGAGGGGTTCTGTGGTATCTGCTTCATGCATGTGTGAAGGTGGACAGGGTCTGAAACAAACCAACTCCATAATGTATCTAAACTTAGGAAAGGTAAAATGTGGTTATGATCAATCACTTGATCATTTACCATCAGGAGAAATTTATTCTTATTAAGGTTAGCCAAATTACCAAGATTAGTCCATTGAGACATGTTCTGAAGTTCCAGAAAAATAAAGATGAAGTAGCAGATGTTATCTATAAAACTAGTCTGTAACTGGATATACCACAGTTTTGGCAGAGGCTTTATAAGGAGATTCTATTATGCTTATTAATATTGGGTTCATTTCCTGAGAAGCAATATAGCATATCATAGACATAACAGAAAAAGAATATCAGAGCAACATGAGCTCAAATCTTGGTTCTTCTATTTTTAGTTAACTGCATTTTATGTAGGGTTGAGGTTCTGAAGTTGATACACAAGGCAAAAATTGTGCTGTCAGTACTACTTGAAAATCCCATTAACTGTCATTAAATATGCCCATTTGGAGATTTTTGTTTCAGAGTGACTAAATTCAGAAATCATATAAATGTTTTACTGCTTTGACTATTTCACAAGAATCCAAATTATTGACTCTTCTGATTCTTAGCAATCATCTTCATCATTCTAGATAGTCTTTTTTTTTTTTAAAGATTTTATTTATTTATTTATTTGAGAGAGAGAATGAGAGAGAGAGAGAGAGAGAGCACATGAGAGGGGGGAGGGTCAGAGGGAGAAGCAGACTTCCTGCCGAGCAGGGAGCCCGATGCGGAACTCGATCCCGGGACTCCAGGATCATGACCTGAGCCGAAGGCAGTCACTTAACCAACTGAGCCACCCAGGCACCCCCATCATTCTAGATAGTCTTAATTATCTATTTTATTTTTAACTTTTGTTAAAAGTTGTTAACTTGGTGTCAGATCTGCTGCCGCCAAGTCCGGATCCAACCTTGCGCGCCGCTGATGCCCACCCGCCCGACGTGCACTCCTGATTCCTTCTGGTTCTAAGTCCAAAATGGCAACTCTTAAAGATCACCTGATTCAGAATCTTCTTAATGAAGAACATACCCCCCAGAATAAGATTACAGTTGTTGGGGTTGGTGCTGTTGGCATGGCTTGTGCCATCAGTATCTTAATGAAGGACTTGGCAGATGAACTTGCTCTTGTTGATGTTACGGAAGACAAACTGAAGGGACAGATGATGGATGTCCAGCACGGCAGCCTTTTCCTTAGAACACCAAAAATTGTCTCTGGCAAAGATTATAATGTGACTGCAAACTCCAAGCTGGTTATTATCACAGCTGGGGCATGTCAGCAAGAGGGAGAAAGCCGTTTTAATTTGGTCCAGTGTAACGTGAACATCTTTAAGTTCATCATTCCTAATATCGTAAAATATAGCCCAAACTGCAAGTTGCTTGTTGTTTCCAATCCAGTGGTTATCTTGACCTATGTGGCTTGGATGGTAAGTGGCTTTCCCAAAAACCGTGTTATTGGAAGTGGTTGCAATCTGGATTCAGCCCAGTTCCATTACCTAATGGGGGAAAGACTGGGAGTTCACCCATTAAGCTGTGACGGGTGGGTCCTGGGGGAGCATGGAGACTCCAGTGTGCCTGTATGGAGTGGAGTGAATGTTGCTGGTATCTCTCTGAAGAATCTGCACCCTGACTTAGGCACTGATGCAGATAAGGAACAGTGGAAAGAGGTTAACAAACAGGTGGTTGACAGTGCCTATGAGGTGATCAAACTGAAAGGCTACACTTCCTGGGCCATTGGACTGTCTGTGGCAGATCTGGCAGAAAGTATAATGAAGAATCTTAGGTGGGTGCATCCAATTTCCACCATGATTAAGGGTCTCTATGGAATTAAAGATGATGTCTTCCTTAGTGTCCCTTGCATCTTGGGACAGAATGGAATTTCAGATGTTGTGAAGGTGACTCTGACTCCTGAGGAGGAGGCCTGTTTGAAGGATAGTGTAGATACACTTTGAGGGATCCAAAAGGAGCTGCAGTTTTAAAGTTTTCTAATGTACCACTTCACTGTCTAGACTACAACAGGATTTTAGTTTGAGGTTGTGTATATTGTCCTTATTATCTGATCTGTTACTCAAGTAATATTAAAATGGCCTAAGAAAAAACATCCGTTTCCTAAAGTTCCAAATAGGAATGGTTCACCAAACCCTGCAGCTGTATCCTGATGCTGGATGATACCTGTCTTTGTAGCCCCAAATTGGTTAACGTAAGTTAGCTCCACCGTCTCAGAGGCACCACTGCCAGAGCTGCGGTTGCTCTTCACACCAGATGTGTGTTTACTGTGTGTTCTGTCACTTCGGGTTCCTTCCCCCAAAACCCAACATGCCTAGTCCACCTTTTCCAGTCAGTCACGTCCTGGGATCCAATGTATAAATTCAATATTGCAAGTATTGTGCATAACTGTCCTCAAGGATCTTATTTTGTGTACCATGTATGTCAGAATATAGTGTACATGGCCATATAATGTAAAAAGACAATGCAACTAAGTGTCATACCAACTAAAATACCAAATAAATTTTGAACAGTGACTCTTTTTTGAAAAAAAAAAAAAAAGTTGTTAACTTATTGTCTCTCAGTTCCAATTCACCCTTCATTTTATGTTCTCCAAAATTGGATCTGAGGCCTTTAAATATATTTTCCTCTCCAGCTGGCATGATGTTAAGCTTTATCAGTAGAGGGTGCAAGAGAGACCCTGCAGAAAGAGAAGGTTTTGCTCCTGGTTCATGTGCATTACTCCACAAGCTCCTGAAGCCTGTGCTCCTCTAGGACCCAGGTCCTGCAGCATGGGAAGCCCTACAGCACACAGAGCTTCCCGAGTGCCCAAATCCTACAGCACAGGTGGCTTCTCCAGCATACCATCCCCCATGCCCAATTTTTTTCCTAGCCTTATTGAGGTAAAATTGATACACAAAAAATGGTAAATAATTAATGTATACACCTGTGTTACCATCACCATGATTAATAAACACTTCCAAAAGTTTCTTTGTGTGTGAGTGTAGGTGTGGTAAGAACACTTAACATGAGATCTACCCTTCTAACAAACTTTTAAGTACACAATTACCTCATTGTTAAGTATAGGCACTATGTTGTAAAGCAGATCTCTGGAACCACCCTCAGTATTTTTGTTGCAGAGTGCCTCTGGTGAGACACCTCTCTGTGAACAGCTTTCCCGGCACCCTAGAGGGCAGGTATCTGGCAAAGTTCTGCCAACATGGCATCCAAATGACTTCTCTGCCTTCAGTAAGCCACAGTCATGCCTTCTACAACAAGGTCTAAATCTCAACCTCTTCCATTAGTGTTCCATCTTTGTCCAAGAGGATTCTGGCAGCTGCTTACACCTGCTATTCCTATATTCTTTTTTTTTTCCCTGATGCTAAAAGCTTCTTTTTTTA